AGATGACAGACGGGTATGCCCGAAATCCAAACAAACATGAGTAGCGAATTTAAAAGAAAGGCAAAGCAGATGTGGCCTCTTTCAGAAACATTATTTGATTTTGATATGCATTGATGTTTCTGGCTAGTTTGCAGACCTTGGCTAATCAAAAACACTGACATCTTCTTCCCTCTCTGGGGTTGTAAGAAGTCTTCTTTGTGCGCTAAACGTGTCTGTGCCACACGTGTTTCGAAGTAGCACTTGTACCTTTCATCGTATGATCCCAGACACGTAGTTTGCATCTTTGAGGGGACTTCTTTCTCCTTCTCCTCTGCAGCATACACACATTCACTTTTACTTCAAGTTTTGCATACGTCTTCAGGAACCGTACAGAACCAGCTGCAGGAACAGGCCACCGCAATTCCGACTGAACACAAACCCATCGATAAAATAACTGCTAAGATGCAAACAATGTGAAATGGAACAAAATCGAGGACCTGCAGCTAAAGCAGAGTTTTAAAAGCCAGCATTTAGATAGATCCTTTTTCTAGACAGCGTGAAACTGCTACACGCTTAGCAATTCCTTAAAAGAGAGGAACCGTTCGTTCATTCATTTATTCCTTCTTTTAACCTGAGAAGTCACAGGAAAGAATTTCTGCACGACGGTTCCAATCGGGTCGCCCTAAAATGGTATTTGATTTCAAGACCCTCAACCTCCCTGGTGCTCTGGTAGCTCTGTCTGTGCCTCCCCGGGGGGCACTCAGTGCGCCGTGACAATTCATGTGTGTCTCCCACTTGGGTGTGCGGGTGCAAAGGCCACGTCTGACGTATTTCTGAAGCTGTGCAGCACGGCAGGTAAAAGTGGCCCCTGGAGTTGAGCTCCCGGGTCCATGTCCCCACACTGCCACTTGTGGATAGTGTGATCTTGATCAGTTCCTTAGCCTTCCTGGGCTTCAGTGCCCTCATCTGGAAAATGGGGCTAATAATAGTCTCTCCCTCAACTGAGTTGCTCTGGGGATAAAGATAATCCATACAAAGCACCTGGCATAGTGGAAAACAACTAAAAGGCTCAAGAAAAGCTATTATATTCGTGTCTAATATAGTACTTGGCTCATCAAGAAGAAAGTCTGAAATGAGAACGAGAATCCCTTCTCTCCTCGGCTTACTCCTGCAATGCTGTACTATTCCACACTTGCGAATGTAATTCTGTACTTGCAAATGTCAAGTGTGAATTCTCAGGGTACATATTTTCTCTTCAACTAAACAGCGAGCTCCCTAAGGGCAGGGGTAGTGCTGACTACTTCTGGTCCTCCCCCTTGGCGCGGCTGTCCACGAATGCCGGCTGCTTTGGCACGCTAGTTGCTGTCGCACTGCGTGACCAGAGCTTCCACCTGAAGGGCCGCAGCATTTCTCCCCGGGGCAGGTTCACACGTGGCGAGTTGGGCCTTTTACGTTATTCTGACATAAGGTCCCAGCTTCCCCAGACCACTCAGCTGATCTCCCTGTTGACTCAGAATAGAAAATTTTTGGCATTATCCTGTCTTAGAGGGTAGTGCTGCCTCACCCGGCCAGGGAAATGGCCATAGATCTCATGGTCATGCCCAACTCACCCAGCTGTAACCCAGTGGGGCCTATTGGGAATCTGCGACTAATGTGAACGTTCCAAAGGGGAAAAATGGTTTACAAACCAAACTCATCTAACACATTAGGCCAAACCTGTCTTCCAGGGAACTTGGGGGGTACAGCGGGGGAATGGACTGAGCCCTCAATAAATGTCACTTCTACGGATCTAAATTCCGCTTCTTCCATTCCTGTCACTTGAGTCCTGACTTACCACGATTATACAGCACGGCAACCTAAAAGAATGCCAAGATCTTCTATCACTACAGATTTAAGGACATTAGAAGACAGGACAGCACGGGGCGCAATGCAAGGATTATAGGGCCAGCCTACCTGGGTTCAAATCCCAGCTTTGCCAAACACCAACGGTGAGACCCTGACAAGGTGCCAAAAACGAGCTAAGTGTCTGAAAAATGATGGATGACAACAGCACCGGCTTCAAATGGCTGCCGTTTAATACGAGTTGATTTTTACAATTGTGTTTGGCATATGGTAAATTATCAATAAACGGAAGCTAATATTATAAAATTTTCATGCCATCACGCACAGTATGTCCAGACGGTAGCTACTATTTAGAACGACTCAAATCCAGCTCTTCCCTGCCGATCCAGTAGCTCAAGTCAATGCAGAGTCAACTGTGACCCTCTCTCTCCTTTTCTCCTCACTCCTCACATTCCGATGGGTCTCCAGGAGCCAGGTCCCTCCAGACTTCCATGATCCTACCTCTCAAATATCTTACACTTGTCCACCTCTCTCTGTTCCCACTGTCCTAGTCTGGGCCAGTGGTTGCTGTCACGCTGGGGCCGGTGACCTCTCCCAGCTTCTCTTCTTACTTTCTTCAGTCCGTCCTTCACGCGGCTCTAACAGCTTTCCAAAGCGTAGATCGGATTAAAGCATAGCTCTATGTGACAGCTTTCCTTGGCTTTATTACATACTGCAAAATAAAGTCCACTTTTCCTTCGTCGTCCTTTTTTTTTTTTTTTAAGTAGGCTCCACATGCCAGCCTCTAACACAGAGCGTGAATACACTCTGGTCGGAGTTGAGACGCTTTCACCGACTAAAACCCAGGAGGCAGAAAGTCCTTGCAGGTACAGACTTTGGGCTCCTTACTACCTCGTCCCAGCATACTCTTCCTCCTTCCTCCCCTCGTCTACACCCGAGTCACACCTCGCGACGGGCTCTCCTGTGGACTCTCTCTGTTTCTCTGCCTGTAATGTTACTCTTCGGTTTCCTGCCCATCCAACTTCTAATTACCTTTCAAGACTCAAGCTAAACGTAAGCCAAAAGTCGGTGCCTGGGAGTCGGTGAGTTGAAGAAAGTAGGCTAATATAGCTGAGAATGATTTTTAAAAATATATAAAATAGGTGCCTGGAATTTTTCTTTGGTAAACCAGAAAACCTAGTTGACTCATTTTTATGACTCATTTTATGTTTGTGTTTGATCCATGTCAGGCACTTCGTGTAATTTTTTTTTTCATTTAATCTTCTTAACGACCCTATTGGTTTGACATTATCACAACCACTTTGGAGATGAAGAAACCTGGGTTAGGGGATTTGTCCAAGGGCAGCAAGATAGTAAATGACAGAGCTGAGATCTGAACACCGGTCTGACTCCAAAGCCCAGGGCTGCAGCACAGGTCACCAAACGCTGTGCTTCGCGACCTCACGTTGTGTGTATCTGCCTGACATGTTTAAAATGTAATGTTGGCCCTGATCTGACTTCGGTGTAGACGCATTACCACCCTGAGTTATGCAGTGCCTTATGTTCTGCTAGTGGGTCTGAATGCCAGCTCCTGGTGAAATAGCTTTCAGTATACCAAGTGGGGTGGCATGAAACGCAATTATGCTTTTTTGACGAGGAAGCGGTTCAGTCCAGGGGCTTCCAGCTGAGGTCAGCCTCTCGTTCATTCATTATGCACCACGAGCAAGCACCTACTGACTTCCCACCACATGTATGACACTATGTTAAACTTATTTCCTTGTCTTTCTCCAAGAACTTCTTTATTCAATCTCAGGAAAGCCGTCTGGCAAATCTGAGTGCTTCCGAACCACAGGCTGATAATTTCTGCTTTAGAATAAGTGAACTGATGGCTTTCAGTGGCACTTTCTCTCCAGAGAAATCAGGCCCTGTGTTTGAGCTGGGCCTTTTTTAGTTACTCAAGAATAGGTCTGCTAATGCCTATGAAACACAACATACACACGCAATTCAATAATTCCAACTTTTAAAAGTTATTAAAATAAATATCCTGTCTGGATGGCTAACATTTTCCTGGCACTAAGTGGTAACTATGAACACAGGAAAGGCTCATCGGTGATCGAGAGTGGTCACCCATAACCATTAGTGTTACGGAGTGAACTATGTCCCCTACCAGAATCCAAATGTTGGAGTCCTAACCCCCAGTACTTTAGTATGTGACTGCGTTTACACAGAAACTTCATGGAAGTAATTACGTTAAAACTAGGTCATTAAAGTGGGCCCTAATCCAGTTTCATCGGTGTCCTTATAAGAAGAGATTAGGACATGAAAGGGAGAGAGAGAGAGGCACCAGAAATGTGCACATACAGAGGCAAGCCCACGTGACTGTGCATGGAGAGGGCGGCCGTGTGCAAGCCAAGGAGAGAGGTCTCAGAAAAAAACCAAACCTGCCCACACCTTGACCATGGACTTCTAACCTTGAGGACTGTAAGAAAATAAATTTCCGTTGTTTCTGTGGTATTCTGTTAAGGCGGCTCC